TGGAGTCATCCAGTTGTACAGTGGGGAAGGCCGAAGCAGTCAGTTCATCCAGCGTGCACTTCAGCCCCTGCCTGAAACAGTGACACACACACTTTCTGTTAGTGCAGTTCATTAGCCTGCTGGCAATTATACTCTATTTGTTTCTGCCCACCATGTGTAGATGATGTGCTGCTCTCGGCCTCCTGTCCTGTAGCTGTAGAGGATGAGGTAACAGTCCCCGCCATAGAAGTGACCATAGTTGGAGGGCTCCACAGGTACTTTGTCCCTATTTTCAATACGCCAGATCTGAAAAATAGAACCACCACCAATGAAACAACCCACTGATCTACAATTCAGTCAACGTAAAACGTGCCTTTATTTCACGTCATCAACACACCTGGACTTTGCCCTTGCCATCGTCCACCATGCCATGCTGGGCGGCCATGGCTTTATTGGAGTGCAAGGTGGAGGCATCGAAGGGCACTTGTGGGATTTTGGCGATGCTGCCGATGGTGTAGGCTTTAGAGGGGCCTGTAGTCTCGTCCTTGTCCCTCCAGTCAGCGAAGTACTGCTTGAACAGAGTAGTCTCAGCCCCTGCAGGAAGAACCTGGATCTGCAGTGGAGAGAAGGATTTTAACGCCATGAGTTTTGGTTTTATTTTTAGGAGAAAACAATAATACTGACCGACCGTGCTCTGCAGTTTTACCTGTGTTTTGTTGGAGTAGCCTTTTTCTTTGATGAACTGCTGACCAGCAGACATGGCTGCTTTTCGCTCTGTTGTGTTGGCCTTGGGACCTGGTCAGTACCACACCGTGAGACAGAGACGAGTCGGTAAATTCATCCATCGTAAAAATGCATGGAAACATTTGTCAGAGCAGTCCATAAATTCACGTGAAATTAGAAATTAGAAACAGAACGTCTGTCTTATTTTTAGCCTACGGGTACATCTGGTTAAAAAGGAAAGCGTCTGTGACTAACGTTTCCTACACTGGGTCAGTAAAAGCAGCCATGAGGGCAGTGATGTCACCTTTCCACACAAAGATGTTCCTGTCCACTCCATTGTCCAGGATGTAGCACTCCTCAGGAGACAACATGGCCTGCTTGAAGGGACTACATGGAGCCACAACAGAAATCTTCATGCTCCCAGAAGCATCAGAGATCTACGGGAAAAACACCGCAGTGGAATCAGCTGTTCAGTCTCCTCTGACACTGAACAATCACTTCCTGTGGGGTCACCACAGGGGTCCGCGTGGTGATTTGGGTTTAACCCTACTGACGATGCTTTAATGCTTTTTCAGCTAAATGTTTATACTCAAAACAGGGCTGCTACTACAAAAGAGGATGTGTCTTTCTCACCATGTAGAGGGCGCCCTTCTTCCTGTTGGAGGTGTCAACCTTCTGATCATCAACAGTGCTGGGAGCAATGGCTGTTACAGGACCCAGGGCCTATAAAAACAAAAGCTTAATGTGAAACTTTACCTCCAGTTTTCATGTTTTAACTTTTTTAACTTTGTCCTAAAACAGTCCACTGATTTAATTCACTCTTCTCCTGTACCACTGGGCCTCCCTCTACTACATACTACTTTTGTAAACAAAACGTCTCCATGGAACCTCGGTGCAGAGTTGGCACATGAACAGAAACAGCATTGTGCCCCCGCTGGCTCGGCGTGAAATGTAAAGGAGCAAAACAAAAACAAAACAAAAAAAACAGGAGGAACGTGTTTGAAGACGGTGCATCACCTCGATGACTTCTGCTGGCTCCTCCCCCTCCTCCACCATGTGCAGCTTGGCTCTGCCGTTCCTCTCGTTGTCTCTGATGTCGATGGACACCTCGGAGGCCTTCAGCCTCTCGTAGCGGCTACACTCGCTGCCACACCACTGATACACGTCCTGGAAACCGGGATTAGATGAGAGATTAGATCAGAGATTAGATCACGATGAATGAACATTGATAAAAGTTCTGCCTATTCCAGAAAATGATGGCCCTGCACTAGCGTGATGCTGCAGATCTCACCTTCCCCAGGTCGATGATGAAGCAGTCACCCTTGTTGAAGCTGCTCCAGGACATTTCCACCTCCGTGGCCCTGATGGCCCAACGACCCTTGATGTGCAGGAGGCGTTTCACGTTCATGTCGTTGATCACCACGTGCTGAAAACCTGAAGCCACGCCTCCTCTCTGTGAAGGAAGGAATGACAGGTCAAAAAGGTATTTACAAAACATGCAAATGAAACGCAGCAAACAGGTGACAGGCACAGGAACTAGGTTCCATAGATACGATGTCTCCAACCACCGGGTTGCATAAGTCACATTATTTCTGTTTTAATTTATTATCTGACTCTGATGAACAAATTATTAATGCTGCTAATAATATTTAGCAGCATCCTAATACATTTAAAAAATACCAGATTTTATGCCGGTCGTATCATTTTATTTAGTTGTATTTATCCTCCAAAGGTTGGAGCCCACTGCCATTGATGATGTTTAGTGTGTACAGCATGCACCTAAAGCAAACACTGACGACTGGCATTTCAGGCTGATAGAAAAACATGAGAGATGAGTTCTTCCCTGCAGTGAACACTGAATCGGCAGTTTCCGTTCTCTAAAGCATCTGGAAGAGAGGCTGTTTATCCTCTTAGAATGGAAACCACATTTCTGTAAGAAAGGCAGTAAAAATTTCCATAGCAACAATACTGGCTGTGTTTATTCTCATGGAAAGAACTGGACTTTTTTTATGACAATAAAGTTACCAAAACCATGAAGGCCTCAGAGAGTTTTCTCCTTCTCCTGTCTCTCATCTTTGACTTTAACTTTATGTCACTAAGGCCAAAAACTCTGTCATGTCAACACGTACAGAGCAGCATTTCTGAATGCTGCAGAAAAAAAAAACAGTCAACAAAGAAAGATTCTGGTTAGCTACATGCAACCAAAGCCTGGTGGGGGTTGGAGGAAGAGCGAGGAAATGGAAAACAGATGGTAAAAGTGGCTCAGCTCCATTCTTTCCAAAAGTCTTCCTGTGAACAGACGACTGGTTGACTTGGTTACAGGCGGTCTGTCGGTGGGTCGGACAGACACACCCTGACACAGGACGCAGGGCAAACTGACTGACCGTTGTGAGTGTGTCGTGTTTCCTCTGAACTTCAGACTCATTATCTCTGCTGCCTGACGCAGTTCACGGAGATGCTGACAATCATTAAACATAATGTGGGTCAGAGTCAAGTCACTGATTGGAGCGACACAGATTTCTGAATATTCTCTGTCAAGTCAAGTCGAGCGACACAGATTTCTGAATATTCTCTGTGTGTTTGACATGGTCATCGTGACGTTGACTTGTTTGGAAACGACAGGATGTAGTAATTAATCAGTAGTCTCACCTCTGCATTGAATAGCATGTTGTCTTTGTACACATACTACGTATATTTGTATACCGCACTGGTGGAGGATGACCTCACTCACACACTTCCTTTACATCTTCATAAATGAATGATCACAACAAACACATTATTTTCAACACCTTCAGCCCACTCTGTGGTCCGCTGACGCTCACCTGATACTTGATGCCCGATTTGAAGTAGCCCAGAAAGGTCTTGGACTCGCAGTTCTGCACCTCTCTGTACTGCACGGGGGAACCGCCCAGGAAGTCATCCAGCTGTGTGGCGAAGATGGCCGCTGCCCCGCTCTCGTCATTGGAACACTCGTCACCTTGAAACAAAACACACGTCCCAGTCAAGTGGAGTGAATCTTTTCTGCTGAATTCATTAGCAGTCTCACTAATGTTCAAGGACGGAGTTTCTCCAAATCGCATTAGCAGAGAGTTCTCAGTTTGTGCGATGACCTCGGAGGACCTTTGGATCAGGACTGGAGCCTTTGATTCACAGAGGAAACAGCTCTGTGTCCACATGGCACACAACAGGGCTAAAACCAGCCCATAATAGTTATCATGACTAAGCCGTTCCCACACAGAGGGTTTAATTATGTTCTCCTGTTATTTCCAGTCTAACAATTTTCAGATGTTTGCAGCAGCAACAGGACAGGACTGGAGGCTCAGTCACTGCAGACACCGACACACCAAGACTATACACTGGTCATTACATATATGTGAGTCAGGCCACAGTGCTGCTCCGGCCCAGGGCTGCCTTATGTAAGAGAACAAGGACAAAAAAAAATTGATTTTTCATAGGGTCAGAGAAGAGGTGTGTGACTTTGGGAGAACTAGAATGAGTTTGACACTGGCCTGGTCTAATCAGACAAACAAAAAACATTGGTAATTAATTTAAATTAATCATCAATTGTTTCATATTTAATATATATATTTAATTTAAATTAATCATCAATTGTTTCTTGATATTTTTAGCACGGAACCAGTTTAATAAATATGTTGGAATTAAATGACATCTCCTTTTGAAGGTGATGATTACTAGGGTTCTAGTTCAGAAGATAGACAAAACAACTTCGAGCTAGTTTGGATTGCTGAACTTTTGTTTTGCCACTCTGTTGAAATGTCTTTAATCTCCTCGCACATCATTAATCACTTTAAATTTGGTTGGCGTTGTGTTTTATACATTTCAAAAACAGTGGAATTTTCTGTGATGATGATGAAGATCAGTGGTTTGCAGCCTGCCTTTAAAATGTCTTTTCTCAACAATGAAACATCAGAGTCAAGTCCAGGCAAGTTCAACGAAGACCAGGACTGAGGATCTTATATGGATTAGCTCCAGTAAAGCGTCCTTTGGTCATCAAGTGAGAACTAAGTCCTGGTCCCACAGTTTATTATTTCTCAGGGAAGGGAACATCAGACTGTTCCTGTGTTAGAATCAACAATCATTACAGCGATCTTTGAAGTGTGATGCAAATAGAAGAAGGCAGGAATGACACTGTAACATGTCTAGTCAGGTCACGATGATGTGAGCATGAGTGTGTGTGTGTTTACTAAAGCCTCACCCAGCCACATGTGTATGTTGTATGACGGTGCCTTGGTGGTGTAGAGCAGCAGGTAAGCATCTCCGGTGTAAAAGTTGCCGTGCAGAGCCTTAGGAACCGGCTTCAGGTCAAGGTTCTCAATACGCCACAGCTGCAGCCCGGGCTGTTTCCCTGCAGTGGCAAACTCTCTATGGGAAACCATGATGGCTCTGATAGACAGGAGGAGATGGATAAAGACACAGATTTAGATAAAACTTTGGAAGAAGTTTGAGGAAAAATGCAGGAAGCGATTTGAAGATCCAGCTCCGGACAGAAACAGACATGGCAATAACTGTTGTTAGTCTTCTTGAAAACCACGGCTGTTGGTTTGGTTAAGAAGAAGAACGCCCTGGTTAGGATAGTTTCCTCATATTTTTGGTTAATCTTAAAAAACAGGAAATTATTACCCAAGCGGACATTTTGAAAGTTGACTGGTACTAATCTTAAAAAACAGGAAGTTGGGTAATAACTTAAGCGGACATTTTGAAAGTTGACTGGTATATTATAAAAAAAACTTAGTGCTAAGGAACTGCAACGAAAAAGAAAACATTTTCAGTGAGGGCACATTATTTAGTTGGTTCCACAGTGTAGTGGTTCGCACGCCTGCCTCGGAAACAGAGAGTCCTGGGTTCGATTCCCAGAGGAACCACATGCCTGGCGCTTGCTCGGGGCAGCCTGTTACACAGCATATCTGCTGCTAACACCCCAATTTCCCAAATATGGGATCAATACAGTACATATTAATTTTTAAATTTTTATTTATTTGAAATTGTCGCACATATTCTCACATTTTTAATAAATGGTTGTAAAAGTAACAGCACTCTGACCGTTTGATTACGATGACAGTTAGAGTTTGTACCATCAAGGTTTACAGCTAGTACTGATTACTGTCGGCCCATTGATTACGCAACAGCTGCAGGATTACTGCCAACACTGACGGCTAAAGTCATCTGTCAGAACACGATAATATGCACTCCTTGGACAGGAGCACACGGAGCTGCACACCACGAACGCCAACACCCCCTCTGATGTGTACACTTCAGCACACTGTCAACCTGCTCATCTGAAAATAACAAAATGTATTTATATCATACAATGCACAAATTGGCATCAGTGACTAAAGCAAAATTATTATTATTATTATTATTATTATTAGATTACTTGTTCAGCTGTGTGTTAAATGTGGCTCAAATTTCCATGCAGGCAGAGAAACCACTCAGAGAACTTCCTGTAACAGGCCGATCAATAAATGATGCGTCACGGACAAACCATCGAACGACCGTCTATGGACCGATCTGGACCCAGATGGACTGTTAGCAACAATGATGTGACACATTATGGAACAACAGATGTAGGTCATAAATGGAACAAATGCAAATCTACTGAGACACACAGCACTGACGAAGAACTGCAGTAAATACAGTAAACATGCAGCATGGTCAGTTAATCAGCTAACAGCTTCTTTTTACAAATATATAAAGAATGTTCTTATACTATGACCAACAAAGATAAAGCTCCAATATTGTTGCTGTAATGGTGTTGGTAGGATTTATTTTAAATATGTGTTCACAGAATTGGGCGAGGCCTTCGAGTAAAAGTATCTGACCATTCAGGATGACTGTATACAGTCAACGCCTCGCAGAATTTTTTTTTTTTTTACCTAAGTTACCCAGGGATCTATATTTAATAGCAATGAATTTAGCGCAGAGTTCTGTTTGTACCTTTTCACCTCCAACTATAAATGCAAAAAATAAAAACTTTAATTTATTTGTTGCATTAAAAAAAGGGGTAGGAAGTTGAGTCAACCCTCTTGGCTAAGCTTAATTCTAGCCAAGTCTCTATGTGGCAGCTTAGCATCCTTTGAGTTGCACTACTGCCACCTACTGGTCTAGAGTTAAACAAACATATAAAAAACAAGTCAAAATAAGAAAATAGTGACAGAGGGAAGCAATATTTCCCATGACTCTATAAAACAACTGAGGCGATAATTTAATACTAATTAAAATAAATTAGCATGGTTTAATATAATTGCTTGTAAGAACTTGAATATTACACAATGAAACGACTTGGTTTTGCCACAGGCAGTTGTCCTTTGTTGGTTAACTGCAAGTTCTGGTCTGGATTGCCTTGATTTTTATTGGATTCCAAGGATAATTTCATTAATTCTCTCCGTTCATAAATAAAACTAAAAACAATCACATTATTCCAACACGTTATGTAATTCTGGTCTGTAACCAAGTTTTTTTCCCCCTTTTTCTACTCCTGTTTTTTTTGTTGTTTTTTTTTTGGGGTATGACATAACATCTTTATTCTACTTCCTACCCCTTCCACTCCAGTTATTCACGCTCCGCTGATTCTATGCGAATGACAGACGACAACGCAAAAACAATAAAGTTTTCCATGCAACAAAAACCCAAATGTGCAGCAGAGTGCGACTCCGTTTTCAAATCGCTCACTGTCTGCAGCCAAGTTCAGTCAGTAAATAAACGCGAAGTTAAAGTAAAGGGTGAATTAAATGCCCTATGTCACGTTTAAAGCCGTGCAGAGCTGACGCCGTGCAGCCGTTAAAACCTGTTTACAACACATAGAGCTATTTAATGTGGATCAAACCAACAAGGAACTCACAGTTTGCAGATGAGTCCGGTAGTAGAAAGTAGAGTAGAACTGTTGATGGTGGCTGTAAATCAGGGAGTGGAGCAGAGAGTGAAGAGCTGTTCTATGTTTTAATGTGTATAAAAGGAGGAGGAGGTGAAGAAAAAGAGAGGAGGAGGAGAGAAGAGGGGGAGGGAGGGAGGACCCAGATGTGTGGCAGCACTGATTGGTCCACAGACGTTGGCTCTATAAAGATGCTGCAGTCAGCTTGTCTGCACAGCTCTGTGGGACGTTTGCATGTGCGTTCACGTGGTTTGGTTTGGTTTAGTTCAGCGTTGATCAAACATGAGAGGCTCTTCAATAAACAGGACTGGAGCACCGAGAAGATGTGATCGGCTTTTAAAATACCAATCCAGTTTATTCTACATTTTCGAATAAACTCTGGAAACTATTCATCAGATTTGCCAACACTACCGCCCCCTGGGGATGAAAACATTACAATCGCAGGACCCTAGGTTCAAAATAAAGATGCTGCTCATGAAAAATCTGTAATAAAAAAAAAAAAGTTTTTTAACTAATATTGTGGGATATTTTCATTCCTTTAGTAGCACTTAAAATTTGGACTTTCACATTTAACCCTAAAGATTTTTGATTTTATTTTTGTTTCCATGCAACCCTGATCTAAACAAATCCTGGCTATGTTGATGGAAAACTCAAAATGAATCATTCTAGCCTGGTAACGTTAACCAAAACAAAGCAGTTGAAGACAGGACGAGGATTATTAAAGTCTAGTTGTGGCCTGTTACTGTCACCTACTGGATAATATACCCACCAAGGAAGAAGTTTGGCTCTAAACCCATCAGACATCCCCTGAAGACACTGAGGAGGACAAAAAAAATATTGACATGAACTTAAGCCATAACGCACAGCAAATCCTATCATCACCATGTTACTGTACTGCGTGTACTTTCTGTGCGGACTTTAAGCAAATTCACCTCCAAACCTGCAGGCGTGTTCACACAGGTTACACCCTGTCTCTGTCTACTGTACACTGTGTGTTTATTTACGCACACACACCTAATCCTCACCGCATCTGCCATGACTGAATGACTGTTTGTCCCTACACATTTCACCCACACACACACAGACAGAGGACAGTGTGTACACATCAGACAGACGGTCAGTGGACCAACATGGGCTTCTGGAGAACTGTTCGGTTCTACGTGACTTTTTCCACAGGAAACACAGGAGCTTTGTTCACACTCACACACCAACCACACCTACACGTCACACACATGCAGGGCGTGTCCACCAGTCTGTATTTACACCTAGGCCAGAGTTTCCCTCCTGTATCATTTGTTTGAGCAGCATTTCAGATCTCTAATCGTTAGTCGAAACGTAACGTATAATTACATAATACTAAGGATGTCAGATATTAACTTTTTGCAGATATCCGATATTGTCCAAACACTAGTTTTAGGGCACACGTCATTCGGTAAAAAACCAGGCATTCTGTTATCGTGTTTTCATTATTGTAGGACAAACTGATAACGATTCTTACAGACATTACATAATATCGGGCCGATAATGTCGGACACCCCTACATATTACATATCGCAATACAGTCAGGAAACTATTGCTTTTACGTGGAGTTAGTCACAATGAACAGCAGTGAGGACCAGAAGGAACGTGTGCTGTTGAAATAATCCATACAATTTGCACTAAGCAGAATGTAAACAGAGTGAGAGGAACAGAATGTAAACAGACATTCTTAATATACCTGTACTCAGGGGGCGGGGCTACGTACCGGCCAAACGCTGTAGGTCGAGGACGTTGTAAACCAAAGGAACCCCTGCATGTAGAAAAACAGAAGAATATATAAGATAAAATCAAGAAGAATCAAGAAGTCACCCTAGTTTAAGGCACATTCTTATAAATACTTTTAAAAAGAGAGTAAAAGGCAGCCCCCCCTCCACCTCCTAGTTAAGTTCTTCATCTTAAAAGGAAGTAAGCCATCATAACCACGCTTTCCCACGAGACACTTTTGTAGTACAAACATGTCACCCTGTTCCTCTTTGTTCCTGATGTGGACATAGAAGCGTCACACTTGGTTAGACGCCTTATACTGACTACAAACACATTTGCGGTGTTTGTCTCACAGCGTTTCAGCTACAACACGATTTCTTCATTAAATCATGTCTCAACTATGGCGTCACTGTTTGTTTATCAGTGTAGGAGAACAGTAGCCACAGTCAGGGTGGGCGGCGTCGGTGGCTCTTATCGTCAAATAGGATGTGACCTACGGGCTGGACTGTTGGGCGGCGGCAGGCCCATTGTGCCCCTCACTGATCGCTGACTATTGCACAACCTCACTGACAATATGACTGGCCGGACGGATTAGAGGATTAGGGAGAGTTTTGAGGTCTACACAGGGAAACAGAGCAGAAAGGTTCAACAGGTGGAAAACAAACTAAACATCATTATTAAAGGGACAGTCTGCTGTTTTAAATGTAAACATACGGAGTGGATTTTTTAAAACTTGTATACTGTAACAAAAAACTGCTTTCAAAGTACCGCAACATTTTTTGTGGGAATATTATCATCAACACCTTTGACCTTTGCCCGTGACCTCACAGACAGAGAAGTGGCTCCAGCAGTTTCCCAAAAGCCTTATCTGCACCAACTTCTTCCAGAGAGTCTCCCGAGTAGAGACTGTTAAGACGATAGAAGGGCACTGGACAGGAAGTGAAGGGGTTTGACATAAAACTGGTCCCAGGTGTCAGCCAGTGAAACAACAGGCACTAAACAAAACCGAGCAGCTGCCATAAAAATGGTAACTATGTAACCTTCCACTGCCTGGTCTGTAGAATGTGCAAAAGGTCGGTAGGAGGAGGAGGAGGAGGAAGAGGGGGAGGAGACAGCCATGATCTCTAAACAACATTATTCTAGCATTATCAGACAGAAACACTGTTTGACTGCGAGTTTGAATATGCAGATTTTGGCTTCATTTCTTGATAAAGAGTTGTTTTTAGATTCTTCCCCATCAGGCAAATGGCCAGCTGTTCAACTAAGAGAACTGACACCCTTTATCTGTGAGTTAGAGTGGGCCAAATGTATGCACCAAGGGCTGACCAGAAAACAGTATAATTACATTCAGTATAATGGTGAGCGAGAAAAATAAAAACAGTTTAAACTAGATTGACGACTATCCACAGGTCATCAATCACATGACTAAGAAAAAGAGACAATTAATTAGTTTATTTATGACTCACTTTGGTCATTTTTACTGTAAATCTAGGCTTCGGTGTTTAGGCTTATAAGCAAATTCAAAACCGTAAATGGATGAGCAGGGACTTCCTGTGTGTGTGTGTGTGTGTATGTGTGTGTTCAGATAAGGGTTTGCACAGCTCCTTGGTGACGGCCAGTGAAAGGCATTTGTCACTTGAGAGGCTTTGTAAAGAAGCTGTCAGTGGTCTGGATGCAGATAAACTGGTATCGTCAGTCAGGCTATCACATCTTTAGTTGAAAATACAAGACTTTGTCAAAGGGAATATTTGAATCAATATATATGCTTGTAGAAATACTTGAAAAAATTAGGGGATTATTAAGAACTAGTTTTCTTAGTTTAACTTAATAAAAGCCAAATAAATGATTAAAATTAGTTTGTAATGTTCCTAGCTTTGGAGTTTTATAAAAAATAAACACATACATCACACTTTCTACTCACTTTATAGCTTTAGTAATTAGTGGATCACAGAAGTGTCTTCTTGCAAAATATTAATAGAGTTTATTAAGTAGCAACAAGATTTGTTTTGTGTTCTGTTGTGTTTCGTGGAGGAACTAGAGCACACCGTGGCACGCAACATCCCACAGACTGAACCACATCCTCTTCACTAAAAGTGTTTGACACAACCAGAACGGACAAGAAGTGAGAACAGAAAGACTGCTATCTGCACGAAGAGACTAAAATCGGATGAAAACGTTTCTTGAGACCGTAGATAATCTATCTGGCAGAATAAAAGCAGCCAAACGGAGAAAAACTAAAACCCACATAGCCTGGACATTTTATAACTAACCTTTTGTAACCATGTGAGATTACAGCACCAAATCTAATTGGAGCAGCTGGAGACTGTATTGGTCTGAGACTAACTCTCCCCACCCCCTCTCATCCTGATCCCAAAAATTCCTCTTCTGGTCAGAAAGCTGCCAGTTTTTATGGTAACACGACCTCCCGGCCACAGACGGCATGGGAACATCTGAACACAAGGCTGCTTTAATATTCTCTGAAGACTAACAAAAATGGACTCGATACTTCTTTTTGCATGCACTACATCATTTAAGCTGATAAACAAATCTCTCTGTGCCTCACATTAATGTGCCACGAGAGATCATCAGGTGTACCGCAAACTATTACATATATAAAATTATTGGTCTGACAACTATGATTTATTTACTAGATTGTTTTGGAAAAACAAGAAACTCATAAGTACTGTAAATTGTGAGTAAATTGAAACAACTGAAACCAGTAAATTGCCATCCACTACTTGTCAACTAGGTGTTGCATCACTACATATGGAGACGTTGCATAAATGATGTCAAAAAAAGGAGAAAAAGAGGAAGACCCAAGAGAAGAGTTACAGTAAGGCAGAAAAAGAGATGTAGATGGAGAGAACAGGCACAAGGAGGAGAACAACAAGCAGGAGGAGCAGGAGAGGAAGAGGAAGAGGAGGAAGAGATGACGCTGGAAATCTATTTCTTAGAACAGAAAACACATATAAAACTGTAAATTTATTGCTTACAATTATATCAAAATGTATCACATTTTGGAAAAGGTATTTGGATATTCTCCTTCAAATTAGGACTTGTGATGGAGTTATCACACATCCTGTAGATGTCTTTAAACCAGGGTTCCCAAAATGAACACATCAAAGAATTAATGACCTCTAGGCGGCGCTGTAATATTACATAAACTATAAAATAAATAGCAAAATGCTATCAAATAAGTTAATTCAAGTTAAATAAACATATCAAAAGACTTCATCCGAAAGTGTGTGAGGTTTTGTTACGTCTTGGATGAACCTACTGAACTCCACAGAGAAGGATCGTCCTGCATCGCTAACGTTTGGTTCACAAACTTCAGCATCCCGGTCAGTGAACTCATATCCATTTCCTCCTCCTTCTCAACCACCAGAGTGGCCACAGACCCTGTTCTGGACTCACCCAGACCCTCACTTCCCTCCTCCCGAGCTGAAGAAACATCACTTGGGAGATGTCCACGGTCTCCATCGTCCACCATGTAGGTGAGGGGGTTAAAGGAGAGGTCAGATGTTTCTGTGGTCTCCACAGTGGCCCGGCCCAGCCAGCTGTGGTTCACTTCCACTGGGAAAGAGGAGACAGAGGAGGAGGTGAGGTAGGAAGAGGAAGAAGAGGGCGGCCAGGGCTCCTTGCCTAAAACCTCCTTCAGTGTTTCTTTGAGGCTCAGAGGAAGGTCCAGAGAAGAGTCTATGCTGTTGCTCTGTGGCCAGTCATGTGTTTGAGACAAGTGAGACCAGGAGTGAGCAGAAGCTGAAGGATGACGAGTCGATAACTGAGAGAGTGTGGGACCCCTGGTGGTGGTCTGAGGCTTTTTAGGGGAAGATGGAGGTGAAGGGAGAGAAGGCTTCTGTAGGGAGTGTGTGAGTGACTGCAGAGCAGGGAGAGAGTGTGTGTAGTTGTCATGGGTGGAGCTCTGAAGATGAGACACATCTGACTCACCCAAATCCTAAGTTGCAAAGTGAAGAAGACATGTTAATTACACACGACAACCTACTGCAAATCCACAACATGGAGACTTAGAAATGCTCTACCTGGATGAGCTCAGACCCAGAGGAAGTCTCTGAAGACTTGTCACAGGCCTGCAGCTGAGTCTGCAGCTGGATTGCATGGACTCTGGTCTGGTTCAACTTCAACTTTGCTCTCTTCAGCTGAGCACGCAGGTCTGTGTTCTGAGCCCTGGTCTGTTCCAGCTGGGTTCTACTCTGAGTGAGTTGGCTCTGGATCTGCTCCAACTGGCCTTGAAGGTGATTGGCTCGGTTCTGAGTGAGGTCCAACAGGACTTTGCTTTGCTGTAGCTGAGTCTGGCTCTCCTGAAGCTTAGCAGTTAGCTCCTCCTGAGCGGAGCGCATGGTGGAAGAGATCTGCTCGGAGACTTTGAGGAGCTGACCTCGGGACTGCTGCAGTGACTCCAGCTAAGAAGTCAGATTTATTAAGCGATAGATCGATGACAACATTACTGAATTAAAAATCAGACTGTAAACTGTAAGTGGCCTAAAAGAAACTCCATGGCAAATGGTTGATTTGACAGATTTGGTGTCAGAGCTAAATTGAATGCAAATGGCAAATGTATTATATGAAAACCTGTTAGTACTGAAGCATTAAAAAGGAGAAAAATGTCAAATGTCAAACAGAATCAACTGCTGACATTTGTGAAAAAAGAGGAAAATAAGTCAAACAGAAACCGACAGGAAAAGGCTTTGTTTGCCGATGTGCATAAAGTGACAATGACGGAGCAAGCAGACAGGAAGTCGTCTGAAATAGCTGAGTTAATATGGTCAACCTTATCATTCAAACCATTGAGACATACCACAGAAGACCCTATAGTTCCTCTTTCAATCAACAAGGGTTTTCAAATAGTAAAGCTGGAGTTAGAACCCGTTATACAGCACTATAATTGAAAACGCTGCCCAAAGAGTCCACTCAAAAATTACTTTAGCAAGAAGCTAATGATGGAAGCTGGATGTAGAGGATGTAAAACAGTTAGTGCTGAAGCAGATAAAGGCAAAAAGACAGAACAACGGTTAATGGTGTTAAAGGAAGAACACTGCAGATGTTTGGACAGTGGTGGGGAACATGAGAAAACAAACCCCACCTAAAAATACCTGGACATGCTTGAAACGTTTGAAAGAATGATGGTCTTATCCTTTAACAACAGCAGAATATGAAACTGTTGAAATTATCCCTGCTGCATTGGTTTGTCTTGTATTAAACAGTATTAAAAAAATCATTATGGCTCCCAGGCATACGTCAGACTCTTCTGATGTTTTTATGTCCTAGATAAGGATGTTACCACTGTGTTAGGGTAGGTGAGTGACACAAGTATTTATGTACAGTATGTCAGTTACTATGCACCGTGGGAACTGAACTCCATCGTGAGTCGAGCACCATTTGCCGAGCTTGGTTAGAGGTAAAGGTCAAGTGCCTGAATATCTGACTCAACTGCACTGGTATGTGTTGTTTGTCCAACATGAAAAATATGTACTATTCTTTTTAACATGAATCATGGAAAGTTCAGTTTCAGTTTCAGGCAGACTAATGCACTGATCCAGTTTGCTAAAATGACCTTAAAGTGAACCAAAGGTATATTCTACCTCCTTGCTCTGCTGCTCCTTCTCCACCTCCAAAGAGCTGATCGTGCTCCGCAGTCTGGCCTCCTCCTGAAGCCACCGTGCCTCCTTCTGAGTCAGCTGAGACAGCTGGACCTTCTGCATGGACACGGACATGTTAAAGTGGTGACACAGCTGCTGGTAAGAGTGAGGACCATTAACTCATGCCATCATTTTATGTGTATATATATTTAAAAAAAAGAAAACCTTCTCGCTGTTCTGCTGCTCAGCTGCAGCCAGCTCTTTGGCCAAAGTCTCACAGTGAAGCCCAGTTTCTTCAAGCTGTTGTAACACAGTACAAAGTTTCTGTTGACTCACACGGAGCTGCTGGTTGAGATCCTGGGACTCCTGGGCCCAGGGAAAAACACACGTCAGTCTCAGTTATCTAAAATCATATTACATGTGTAAGCCTAGCTTTTTATTCAAATTCTTGTTCTTTGGAAGAAGATCTGTACAATAATAGCTCGCAAAAGGCCAAATATGTTTGATCAAAAGGAGGCCTTTTAAAACTTGGTTGGTAATAACGAATGCAAACATAGTGCGCAAACATCAGTGCGAGGCTGTATCATTAATCAATGACTGATGTTTGATCAAGACCTTATAATGGTTGACTGGAGCTCATATAAAAGCTGAGAGTCACCAGTGGTCAGTATGGCTAGGACAGTAATATAAAACCAGAAAACAAATTAATATATCATTAATGGATCGTATGTGTAATAATTTTCCTTCCTGACCCTGTGGTTTCTGTCTGTGAGCTCCTTCTGTGCGTCTGTTAGTTCTCTCTCTTTAGTTTCCAGGCTCTGCTGCAGAGACTCCACCTTCTTCTCCATCTCCTGCTTGTGTTCTCTGATGGCCACGTCCAGCAGACCCAACTAAAAACAACAGGAAGAAAGGAGGAAAAAAAAGAAAACAAACAAAGTTATGGTTACACCGAGACATAACCTGAAAAGTCTTTCGGTTTTGTGTTTCCTTCTTAAACATTCTGCATGTTGTGTGCGACCTGTACCAGCTGTGCTCTCTGCTGGAGCTCCCCCTGCCTCTCTTTCAGAGCATTGTCCATGTCTAAGACCTCATGGGTTCTCTCCTCCAACTCCTTCTGCGTTTCACTGTCAGAGCCAAAAAAATAAAAATCAATTATAGAACTACATGGTTGTTTTATCTGAGCTTTTTCATTCATGGCAGTTCTTTGTGCTTAATGTGTAAGGTGTATTTTCTGCTAATATTTATGGCTTGATTTTCTCTGTTAGGTCTTTGTAAACACAGTGTAATGACATTAGTTATCACCTAAAAAAAGGCGTAGACAGACAACATCAGACATGTTTGAGGAAGATTAAGTGAGTGTTTATCTTTTCATACTACTGAAAATTAAGGTCTTAATTAAATGTAGAATACAGACAGCCATTTGTGTTTGGAGCTGCCACACAGAGCATTAATATAACCCCATCACAAGAGATCGACACCTCCCCAAAATAGAAATACAGACTGAGAGGAAAGTAAGCCCTACATGTGAACTAGGGTGGTCAAGATTAAAAAATAACTGTTCGTTCACTTAAAATTAATCTAATACACAGTCGATGCATGTTTTTAACTTCCAGTCAGACACGTCAGACCAGCCTGACTGAGTGGAGGACAGTAAATAAGTCTGTGTGACTAAATGGATTGTGAGAGACTGTAGACTGATTCATATTGTTGAGCGTCAACAGCTTCACTTAAGTCTTGAAACCAACTCTCAACGTGTTCTACAAGCCACAGTTAGGATGCACGAAAAAATTGTACCTTATATATTTTTGATGGGTTTTGAATTATATACTTATATTATTATTATCTTTTATATTATATACATATTTTTTACTTAATAATTCAGGGAGTGTGAAACATCTTCCTGCTGTAAAGAAAATCTGACATTAATGGCTTGATGGAACATTAGTGTGAGTGCTTGGTGTACACTAAAGAACTGCACACAGTGTGTAAAGAAAGTAAACACATAAAAACAGTTACCATTAGGCAGTGTTGATTTAAAAAAAAATCTTCATAAGAAACCCCAGCACTTGTGAATATGAATCACAATATTTTTTTAAAAATTCACATTTTTTCACTGCAAATTATAAAATATCCAAATAAAAACAACAACATTACAACAACACATTTTTTCCTCAGTATTAATGTACACAAATGTCCTCGACATAAATTAGCTGGTTCATTTTTCTCAGTGTGAGTTGTAACAGCAGTAAGGCAGTGACATACTCTCTGACAGTGCATTTGTCTTCTAAATGTAAACTTGGAGGCAGAAACACCACTGGCTCGGACTGAGTACAAGACACGGACGTCTTCCGTCTCAGCTTTTTGTCCTTAGTATGCAGAAGAATATTTCCCCTGAGGGACATAACCTCACCTAAGCTGGACAGTCAGTTTTTCCACACAGGCCTGTCGCTCGTCTGCGATGGTTTGTGTTTTCTGCAGAATGTCTTTCAGCTTCAGTAGCTGCTCCAGCGTGTCGGTCAACTCCCCTTGGACCGTCTGCAGCTGTCCCTCCAGGATCTGGACCCTGTTGACACAGTTGAGCTGGTCTGCTTCACAGCGATGGAGCTTTTCCTCCAGATCTACAACTGCACAGGACAAGTATGAAAATGAGATCTAAAGAGAAGTGATAAGAAGATGTTCAATCTTTTTCCAAAGTGCAGAGTGGAAATCATCGTACCCATGTCGTTTTTGTTAGCCAGGTTTGTTTTTGTAAGCTGCAGACTCTCCTCCATGCGTTTGATCTGAAATGTCTTCACGGAGACGTCCTTCCTCAGACACTGCAGCTCCGACTCTTTAGACAACAGCTCTCCTCGACACTTGACCATCTCTGACGTGATGTGGCTGCGGAACAGAAACACACGAAGAGTCAAAATCAGAACCACTTTTTTGAGCTACAGTACGTTGTGGAAGCAATAGGCCAAGACAAAGCAGGACAGGTTTCAGATCCCCACCTTAATGTCAGCACGGCTCCCATCGTACTTATTAAAAAAAATGCAACAGCCTCCAAAAGTTAATTAGAATAGCTAAACGATGCTAAACAAATTGTCTTGTTTGAGTGCCGTTTAAAAATAGAGCACATGTCCGGCCAGAAACTGAAATAGCCCAATCAAAAAATCAAAGTTAACAGCAGTGCTGCTGAAGTGAAGTGTGTAAGATTTCAAGTAGTGGGATTCCATATATATATGCATCTGAGTGAGAAGGGAAGGGAGGGGGGAATCCTCCTGCCTGCGGGCAAATAAGTTGTGGTGTAATCATAAGACCCACTCTGCTGCAGGTCAAGTAGGACAAACGCAGGGACAAAAATAATATATACAAAAGTGGAAAAGTGTTTAAATCATTCAATAAAATGTATTTATCATTAAATTAAATAATAAATATTTGTAAATCTTTGATGCAAATCTCCTGTTTGTGATTGTGTTCTTACGTGACGTTCTCAGAAAGCTGAGAGTTCTTCTTCTTCATCTCCAGCAGCTCCTCATCTCGCCCTTGGGCCTCCTGAAATCTGCTCCTCACCTCGTCCTGCAGGGAGGCGTTTGCCCGTTCCAGCTGCTGCTCCAGATGCGACACCTGAGCAAAGACAAACAATTTTCAGGAATTGAGTATATTTTTAAACCCATGAATAAAAAAGGTAGCTTGTTTGGCTCGAAGAATCAGAACATCAAGCACAGAGAGACTCAACCCTACAGTCCTCATGATGCCCTGCTGGCTGAATGGAGCTCATTGTGTTCTATTTGAAATGAAGAACACGAAGTACAAGCAGCAGAGAAAAGAGTTGAACTATAAATGAAATCACAAGGTTAAAAAATGGTTTCCCTAAAGCAACAGCAGATCCACAACAAGCTCAGACCAAACACAGACCGTCTGACAGGCTTGACAAATGTGAAAGTGTGACCCTAATACTGCAATAACTGTTTGCAGTGGTAAACATATAAAAGTGATAAGATATAGAAGAACACGATAATAAAAACTACTTGAGCTACAACCACAGCTAAATGACTCATCAAGGCTGCTCTGGTTCGGAGTACTATTAAAATAAAACTCGTGTAGTAGTGACCATATACTGTAAGAAATGAATTGTAATGTGTCATACAGCTGCATGCATTTATTTTATATGTAAAGCAAATTCAGTTTATATGTGTAAAAATATATTTTCATGTTTGTGAAGCCTAGGGTCGAAGTTGTCGCTGCCCTTTTTTGTATGCATTTATAAATGTTTCATAGTTTTCAACCTTGCTCTCCTCTAGTTTTAATGAAATATTTGAATTTTCGCCCCTGCAGCTATTATTATTCTTATTATTAGGGATATTATTACCTGTCCCTCTAGCTGGCTCTGGCACTCCTCCAGGTCAGAAATGCGGGTGTTGCTCTCGGTCAGCATTGTCTGCTGCTGCTGCAGAGAAAGCTGAAGTTGCAGGTTCTCGTCAGTGAATCTCTGACAAACCAGGCTGGTGCTTCTGAGCTTCTCCTGAAGAGAGGACACCTGAAACGGGAGGAACACGGGACTAATACACACTGGATGGTTACAGAAGGCGAAGAGAGACCTGCAGTGTAAAGATCCTCCGAGTCATCGCTTCACCTTGTCCTTGTTCATCTGCAGCTGACTCTCGTAGTTCTTTTTAACATCCTCCATCTGCTGCAGGTATGAGGTCAGTTCTTCTCTGCACGACGACAACGACGACTGGAGCTCACACACCTGATGCACAGATGCCATTTTTAAGAATCAGATCACCAACCAAATATATAAACATCTACTTGAATAGCTTTGAAGCTCTAGCGACCTTAAACCCCCCAAGAGACACTAGTGGTATGAATGTGTTCTCATAGGATATGAGATATTTCTACAATGTTGGTTCTGTTGAAGATGATGAATCTATTTATGGACAAACTAACCTTGGTGGCAGACTGAGCTGCCTGGTCTTTAAAACTCTGCAGCAGCTCCTCCTTTTGTTTGGCTCGAGCGTCTTTCTCCTGAAATTAAACCAGGGCAGAATCGATCATGTAAGATACAACGTACATGGAATGTGCATCCTCTTTTTATTTTTATTATTTGGTTCAGTCTTTTCACGGGGTTCTTTAGAACCTACAGCTTTTGATCACCATCCACTATAAATGAATCAAGAAGGTCTTGTTCCATCATTCCCACATATATTAATAAAACAAATTTCACTAGTTGGCGAGCGTTGCTGTCACAAGGCACTATAGGCTTTGTTTACATTTGCCGGTTGTACGCCATACATTGGATTGTGCTACATTTTCTTTCTTCCGTTTGTGTTGTTTTTCCGGAACTTTTTACCCTTCATTTTCAGTAAGTCAGACTATTCCAATGTTTTCATGTCCTAGATGATGATGTTACCACTATGTTACAGTAGCTGAGTGACATAGGTACTTATGTACAGTATGTGAGTTCAGAGAACCCCCTGTATATGTATTAAAAAAACATACACATCAAGAAGAGACATGCAGTATAAACATTTCCTTTGTGTATTTATAGTATGCCATAATTGCTTCCTGTACTTCCCCCTGACGTGTATTGTTGTGTAATGTGTGTGAGAAGACAGGTTAGAACAGCTCTTACTTGTGTAAGACGTTCAACAGTGGTCTGCAGGAGGAGAACTTCCTTCTGAGCCTCGTCTCTCTCCCTCTGGCACAAACGGACCTCCTGCTCCACTTCAAACACGCGAGATCGAGCTTCTTCTAAAGAAACTTGCAGCTGCAATAGAGACACAACGCCGTTACACAAGACCAGAAAAGTCCCGATTATAAGAAAATGCTGCAATAAAACATGGGTCACATTGTTTTTGCAGGACATCATCAAGAGAATTTGTGCTGATGTAATTCTGACATCAACTGGAGCCACGGTGGTATAACAGCTGTTCACCATTTCTGTTCTGTGCTGCAGCTCTGTGCATTGCTCAGCCTGGGACTTTTTACACCTTTCCAACGACTGTTGATACTCTCTCTGCTTTTTGGTCATCAGTGTCTGGAGATGTTGAAGAGTGTTGGTCTTCTCCTAAAATTGGATGAAAATGCGTTAGCTAAAATCATAACAGATCTATAAATTACTTGCAGAATAAGATTTAATTAAAACAAAAATGACACTAATTTGACACAAACGTTTTACCTGCAGCTGATTCTCCAGCTCGGTGTTTTTCAGTGCAACCTGGCTGTAAACAGATGTTTTCTCTTGTAACTGTATCTCCAGCGCAGCCACACGGGCACTTTTTCTTCTTAGCTAAGGACACACAGGAAAAAAGAAATGACTTGCCCGAGGGCCCCAATGGTTTAAAATCGGAAAGGTCTCTCAAGTTTGTTCCATGTTACTTCTTTTTCAGTGTCAGTTGCTTGGTTGACTTTGTCCAACAGTTCTGTATGTAGATTTTGGTAATGAGACGTTCTCTGTGCCATGGAGCTCTGCAGGGAGGAGATCTCCTCCTGAGCTCTGCTCAGACGCTCCTGTAACCGCTCAACCAGGCCGCTCTGTTTGGTTCTCTGCGCCTCCATGGACTGCATCACCCGCAACAACTGCTGATAACCTTCACCTGCAAAAAAAAACATTACAGCATTAAATTTTATGTAAAACTCTAGAATACAAAAAGTTTTATTTTTGGCAGTTTTATGTTTTGATCTACATATTATTGATAATTCCATGTGTTTCTACCTGGCTGTAGTTTCAGCAAGTGTGCAGTTCCTGAATACTCCAGCTGGGGGAGCATACATGGTTTTGCACAAAGTGGGCCCAAAACACCCTGATGAGGGGTAAAAATATTAATTTTTGCACAAAATATTTACTATGGATCAAAGTTCTGCTTTGCAAAATGATGACCTATTGTTTTACTTCATGTGACAAGAGAACAAAAAATGACAGTTCATTTTTGACTATCTGAATTTGTCTTGAACTCAGTCTAGGTCACAACCATAGAAAAAGGACCAGAACGGTAACCTATCAATTGTATTAATAGACAACCATTGTCTTCTTCACATTTATAGCAGTTATCTGTTCACCCACAACATCTTTCAGAAAACAATGAGTGAGTATTTAAGCACTGAGCTGAGCACATTCAGATTGCGTGTGGTCATAGCAGACGCATCTACGATGCATTTTACAGCCATGTGTGATCTGTCTGTTTGGTCTGTGTGCAACTGTATGACTCAGGAGAAACTTTATTCAAGAACTGGACACCAGGATTATGACTCTTCACCTCTCGTAGATGCAGCAGGCCTACTATGGTCTCAAGACTGGACAGCTCAGCCTGGTTCCGGGCCGCCTTCTGCTCCTGGCTCTGGGTCATATTACGCAGCTTTTCCAGTTCCTTCCGCAAAGGGGCAACTTGTCTGCATTTTGTTCCACAGTCTTCAAGCTGCTGTTCCAGAACTGAAACCTGCTCCCTGGACTGCTCCAGCTGGGTCTGAAGGTCTGAGTGCCCTGCAGCCAGACTCTTGGCCTCCCTCACCTCCTTCTTTAGTTGGCTGTGGAGCAGATAAGGACAAATGAAGGCTTTATTCTATTTATCAGTTAACACTGGGGTTTGAGCAGCTGATATTATTGCTGTAAGGCAAGTGCACTTGTCACTCCTTAACTGAGGGG